ACCGCCGTGAGTCGCCCTAGGGCTGAGAGCGGCGGTCAACAAATGCAGTAAATAAATAAATAAATAAATAAAATAAAATAAAATCATAAAAGGACAACCCATAAACACACGATAACACATTGCTGCAAATTCTAATTCCATTATCTGCACATGTCGGGACTAATAAGACAATCTTATTTTGAGCACCATGGGATGTATTGCTGTATGGATTTCTCTGGTTGCTTCCTATATTCTGCTTCTTTGTAAGTAACAACTAGCTTGGTAACCCTGCAATGCCCGAGTTATTTGAGAAAGCCATTGTTTGCCTGTGCTTCAAGTTTAGATTCAATGTCAGCTGGGTTCAGTGGGTGTGGGTGAACTACAACTCCGATAGGCAAGTCCCGTCATCCATGGTCCATCCTCCTCCAAACCACACCAGGATGTAGAGTGGGTCATGGGGGCTCTGTATGAGTGCCAAGTTTGGTCTTGATCAGTCATTGGTGTGGGTCGCAGTGGTCTCTGACAGTGAGTAAAGGTCAGAGCCCCATCGTTGATGGTCCATCATCCCACAAACTGCACCAGGACGTCGAGTGGGTCATGGAGGCTCTGTATGTACACATACATACATACATTTACTTTTATTATATATATAGATTGCCAGCATTTTGACTTGTGCAAATAGAAATTTCTAATTTCATGAATCTCTTTCTAACCCCAATGTTATCCAGAGATGTCCTTTTCTGTAAAGATAGCATCTTACCGTAAATTTACTCTTCTTTTGGTAGATCTACCACAAGATCCCCAGCATGGACCCTTCCTCCATCAGAACCCAACAAATTGTCAACTCTGTCCACTCCATGAGCTTGCCTGGGGAGACGTTGGTGTCCTGAACCCATTTCTCTTCCATCTACTTGTCCTGTATGATGCTTTCAGCAGCTGTGGCCTAGCAGGAGATGAGCACAGTATTGAAGGTGGCTGACAAATGCATACGCACTGACAACTACTGAGAACAACACAATGAATATCTTTTCAGACCATTGAATGAGACAGGCCCCGACACATAATATACACCGTTAGATCCCATGAGATCCCAGGAGACTTACTGTTCAACTCTGCTACCCTTCAATAGCCAAAATGGTCCTTAGGAACATTGCAGAGGAAAAGGAAATGAATCCCATGAATCCAGTTTGGCGATTCAATGAAAGAGAACTTGCTCATAAAATTGGATAAGAGGGAAATATATAACCTAAATATTTAGGGGACTTGTTTACACCATCCAGAAAACCCAAAGCTGCTCATGACTTTCTTCATAATGACCAGATACTTCTCACCTTTAACATGGAGTAAAGTGAATTGAACCAGTTGTACACTCCACTGGGGAACGTTGGGGGAGATGTCCATTCAAGGTGGCACCATCCAGATGTCCATCCAGATGTCCATACAAAGTGGCACCATCTAGCCTCCTTTTCCCTAAACTCATCATGTAAGGGAAAATGAGACATATTGGTCCCACTATACTGGATGACCAAAACTTTGGAGAGATCCCAATCATTGTGGATGCCCATCTTGGCTTGCCTTTCTCTCTCCCTAGTCATCTGGGTGCCTTTGCTGGTGTCATCCCAAAGTGCATGTGATGGTTAAGAGCTGTCCTGGAGCTTCACGGCCATTCATCAGCAATTATAGCAACAGAAAAGATAAGGTGATGGTCCAATAGGGCTGAACAGTTTCAAGCAGCTTAGCCGTGTAGAATCTGGTTGTGTAGGTAAGTCCATGGAGAGTTCAATGAATTGAATATGGGACGGGGTTAGAAATGAATGATGTGGAGTCTTTGGTTTCTGAAGACCATTGTGTCATCTTGAAATCAACAGAACACAAAAAGAAAGCTTCACTGGCCTCTTTTACCACTTTCTGTGTGGAATGTGTTTGGTGCCCAGTAATAGAGTATGTCAGATTGTCATAATAGTTGAAGGTTGGGCTATGACTGTGGAGACCAGGGTTCAAATATTCATTCAGCCATAGAAACCCATTCGAGAAAACTGCACTCTTTCATTCTCAGAGGAAAGCCAAGGTAACCCCATCCCCTCTGAACAAATCCTGCCAGGAAAACCCTCTGATAGGTTCACCTAAAGATTGCCATTGGTCAGAAATATAACTTGAAAGCGTACAACAATGAATATTCCAGGATCTCAGGGGAGTGTACAATAAAATCAATTTAAGACCATAACACACAACAGCAAAGAGTATTCAAAAAGGGTGGTCATTCCACAGATATATAAACCTATTTTCTTAGTTTCAACAGACCTCATTACCTCTGAGGATGCTTGCCATAGATGCAGGCGAAACATCAGGAGAGAATGCCTCTAGAACATGGCCATATAGCCCGAAAAAACCTACAACAACCTAGTATTCAAATATGAGGGGTATTTTTTAAGTAAGGTCCATTGGAACATAAGTACACAACGAAAGTTTATTTCAAAAAAGTAAATTTATTTTCAGAAAGTACATACTTCACTCTATTTTTCGGTATAGTTGCCAAGTTTGTTCAAACACTTATCATACCTCAAAGAAGGGCGACCAGAGCGGTCCTCATCATGGACGTTGTCATGGCCATGTTTGAATTGTCGTACCCACTTACGCACTTTGCTTTCACTCGTAACAGTATCACCGTACACTTCACAAATCTGTCGATGAATTTCTGCAGCAGGCAGGTTCCTTGCTGACAAAAACCGTATCACTGAGCGAACCTCACATTTGGAGGGTGAGTTGATAATCTTAAACATTTTTAAAGCACAGAACAGAACTGTACAGGTTAGCTACAGAGCGGAAAATGAGCACAGTTGTTCCTGAGGCATGCCGGTACACGACGCACGCGCTCGTTGCGGTATGCTCGTGAACTACTAGTGTCTACAACAAAACGGACCTTACTTAAAAAATACCCCCCTGTAATTACTAAGACAAGCTATCTCTTTCATACACTGTGCAGCTGTTACCTTTTGGTTGTGATGCTAACAAAGATTCTAAAGCTAACCTGCCTAGATCTAATTCACTACATTTATATCAATCCCATTAATTCAATGGGAGAACTGCAACTGTTTGGTCTGCCCCTGAAATGATAAATAAATAAATAAATAAATGGGAGAACTGTATAAATCCCAGTAATTCAATGGGTCAATTGGGTCTAACCCTGATGTCTGCTTAGGTTAATGTATATTATTATTTGAAATGTATTTTCCCTCATTTGCTTTCTTGGTTTATGTCAATTACATTTCTCTTCCCTTGTGTTTATTTGCATCTGTATTTTAAAAATCCAATAAACGTTTTAACAAAGCTGTCTTTGTGAATTCTGCAATGCTGTGTATTTGTCCTTTGTGGGCTTTTGGAGAAAGTCTATCTCAGTCTTGTGTATCAAGTGGGTGGTGAGGGCTCATATACCTCTACAGCTTGGCTTCCCTGAACTGAAATTCAAAAATCTGAAATATTTCAAAATCTGAAATTATTCACAAAGGGGAATTGAGATAATGACACCTTTACTTGCACAATAACTTCATTTCATCCACCAAATATTTAAAAATATTGTATAAAATTACTGTCAGGCTATATGTATATATGTGTGTGTATGTGTGTGTGAAACTTAAATTCACATTTAGACCTAAGAGGCACGTTCCATCTCTAGGCTATCTCAGTATGAATGCATGTATGCACATATGTATGTATATGCAATCTCAGATATTTCAAAATCTGAAGGAATATCAGAAATATTGAATAGGGTGGTCCACGTTCTGGTTACATCCCGTATAGACTACTGCAATGCTCTCTATGTGGGGTTGCCTCGGAAGACTGCCCGGAAGCTGCAATTAGTCCAATGAGCGGCAGCCAGATTACTAACAGGAGCGGGGTACAGGGAGCATACTACTCCTCTGTTGCGCCAGCTCCACTGGCTGCCAATTAGCTTCCGAGCACAATTCAAAGTGCTGGTGTTGACCTATAAATCCCTAAACGACTCTGGCCCAGTTTACCTGTCCAAATGGATTCTCCCCTATGAACCATCAAGGTTGTTAAGATCTTCTGGAGGGGCCCTGCTCTCGGTCCCACCACCCTCGCAATCGTGTCTGGTGGGGATGAGGGACAGGGCCTTCTCGGTGGTGGTCCTCGGCTCTGGAACTCTCTCCCTCTTGAGGTTAGATCTTCCCCTTCTCTCCTGACTTTTAGAAAGCTGGTGAAATCCTGGCTTTGAAATATGGCATTTGATGATTGAGTCAACAACTTTTGACCACACTGACGGATGGTGGTGAATTGTGATTTCATTCTGACGACCTGGCCTTATGTAATTATATGATTGTATTTTAATGTATTTTATGGATTAGTGTATTATGAAGTTGTGATGTTTTTATACTATTGTCTATGAATTTTCTGTTGTGAACCGGCCTGAGCCCCTCTTCGGAGGTTGAGAAGATTGGGTTATAAAAGCTCCAAATAAATAAATAAATAAATAAATAAATAAAAATATGTGAATCATAAGAAATAATAGACCACAAGCTGAACATGAGTCAACAGTGTGGTTCAGCATCTAAAAAAGGAAATTCAATTCTAGGCTGCATCAAGAGGAGTATAGTGTCTAGATCGAGGGAAGTCATAGGTCCACTCGATTCTGCTTTGGTCAGACCTCATCTGGAATACTGTGTCCACTAGTGGGCACCACAATTCAAGAAGAATATTGACAAACTGGAAGGTGTCTTAGAGAAAGGTGACCAAAATGAGTTTGGTGAAAAGAAGGCTGAGACAGAATATGAAAAGATGTGACACTGAGGAAAGGGCAAGCTTGTTTTCTCCTGCTCTGGAGACCAGATTGTGGGAAAAGGAATCCCACCTACACATAAGAAAGAGCTTTCGAATGGTAAGAGCTGTTCAACAGTGGAAGATGTTTCCTCAGAGGGTGGTGGAGTCTCCTTCTCTAGAGATCTTTGCAGGCATTTTTTTAAAATGCAGGTGTAAATCACATTAAACAGTTAACCAAGGTTAAAATGCATAAGCCTGGTTGTGTCCCATAGATACCCCAGACAAATATGCCATCTACATTGGATTATCTGGTGGTGTAGATGGACTCTCAGTTAAAGAAGCTGTTTTCCTCTTATTAATTTTCAATCCTAAAATCCCTCCTGTTCAAATAGCTGAACCTCCCAATGGAGCTGTTTGAACCCCTCTGTTTAAACAACTGCCGATAAGTTTCCAGTCTCAATTCAAGGTGCAGGTTATCACCTATAAAGCCCTAAATCGTTCAAGACCTGCCTATCTTCGCGACTGCATCTTCACCTACAAACCTGCACAATTTTAAGATCCAGGGAGGCTCTCCTCTCTCTCTCACCCCATCACAAGCGCATCTGCTAGGGACGAGAGAGAGGGCCTTCTCATGGTGGCCCCCTGGCTCTGGAATGCTCTCCTTAAGGAGTTTAGACTGGCACCCACCCTGTCCACTTTCCATAAAGATCTAAAAACGTGGATGTTCCACTGTGCTTTTGATTAGACAGTTCCCCAGATAATTTTGACCCCCAGCTATGACCCAAAAACTAGTCCTTGCACTGTATTCATTCATTTATTTATACCTCGGGACCATACCTCGGGAAGGTGGATCTGGCCAGGGTGGTCCACGCCTTAGTCACCTATAGACTGGATTACTGCAATGCACTCTATGTGGGGCTGCCCTTGAAAACGGCCCAGAAATTTCAGATGATCCACCGGGTGGCAGCCAGGTTGGTAACTGGGGCTCCTTACAGGGAGCGGTCAACCTCCCTGTTCAATGAGCTCCACTGGCTGCCATTCATCTACCGGACCCAATTCAAGGTGCAGGTTCTTGCCTTCAAAGCCCTGAACGGTTTGGGACCCGCCTACCTGCGTGACCACATCTCTGTATACGAACCCACACAATCTCTTCGCTTATTTGGAGAGGCCCTGCTCTCAATCTCACCAGCATCGCAGGCGCGATTGGTGGGGACGAGAGAGAGGGCCTTTTCGGTGGTGGCTCCTCGACTCTGGAACTCACTCCCTAAGGACATCAGGCAGGCCCCAACTCTGGCAGTCTTCAGGAGGAGCTTGAAGACGTGGTTGTTCCAGTGTGCCTTCCCGGAATAATGATCCCAAAGCACTTTGTTCTCCAAGCACTTTATACTTTTAGGTCTGCTCGTATGTCTTCCACAAACGCCACTATCACCTTTTCGTCCATGCCTCAGCACTATTTCCAATTTTAATTTTTACATTTAGCCTTCCCACAGTTTTAACTGTATGTTGTCTTATTGATAATAAGAGAATGCCTCTAGACCATGGCCATATAGCCCAAAAAACCTACAACAACCCACTGCAGAAACTGTATTGTCGAAGGCTGTTGTTTCGCCTGCATCTATGGCAGGCATCCTTAGAGGAGATACGGGGAGAAACTGTTCCAAGATACATGAAAATCTGAGGATGCTTGCAATAGATGCAGGCAAAACGTCAGGAGAAAATGCTACTAGAACATGGCCATATAGCCTGAAAAACTTACAACAACCCAGTGATTCCAGCATGAAAGCCTTCAACAATTCATTTAACATCTCTATAGGGAGAAACTGTTCCAAGACACACGAAATTCTGAGGATGCTTGCCATAAGATGCAGGCGAAACGTCAGGAGAGAATGTTTCTAGAACATGGCTATATAGCCCAAAAAACCTTCAACAACCCACTGCAGAAATTCTTTGCCATCTTTGAAGTCCCGATTTCAATGTCCATCTCAGTGTTATATATTAATCGGAGAAGGGGAGCGGAGATACTATATATGAATTTACAGTCTGAGGGCCCATCCAGGCAGAATCTTTATCCCAGGAGCTCCCGCAGCAAATAGGAGGGTGGCCAGATGCCGTTACCTCAAAATGTGGAAGCAATAGCTACAAACAGCAAAAGGCAAGATTTCCAGGTGTGGGAATATCTTGGTTTTGAGCCAAATATATGGATCTTCTCATGTCTGTATATCCCCGCAATCAGAAATCACAGGTTTTTTTTTTAAACCTGGGTTTGTTCCCAGATTTTAGATGTTTGTTCCTGATTGGTTGGTTCCTAAAAAGAAGGGGGCATTTGAGTACAACTTTGTTTGTATGCCAGAAACTTCTTGAAACGTGCGGAGAGCACATTTTCTTTGGCCGGGACAAAGAACAGAACTTTTTCAGTGATTCGCATATCCAAATCTCTGCATATCAGCATCTTGAGGGTTTTTTTTAAATAAAAAACTGCCACAGTTTCTGGTGGAACTCCCGTGGTGGCCATCTTGGGAGCCCCTAAATCTGGCAATAAAGCATCAAATCTGGACAATGGAGACAAAAATCCCGGGAGCAACAGGTTTGTATGTGGACCTCTTCTGAAGTCCCAGGATTTTTTGTCCCTGTCTAAAAAACCCTCGATGTGACTGGCTTGACCTTGAAGGAGCTGGGGGTGGTGACGGCTGACAGGGAGCTCTGGCGTGGGCTGGTTCATGAGGTCACAAAGAGTCAGAAGCAACAAGAGAGGAGATTCCATCTGAACACGAGGAAGAACT